CTCTCTCTCTCTCTCTCTGCGTTTTGTGTGTGTGTGTGTGTGTGTGAATGCTGAAATAAAACTCCTGGAGTTTCCAACCCAGAGCTAGGCAGCCTCATTAGCTGCTCCAGATAATTCGTTGTCGCAGCCCCCTTCCTGGCAGGAGATTTAGTGGCCCCCCCAGGCCCGGTCTCTTTTTTGAAAGGGAAAGTGTGTTGCGCGCGTGTGTGTGTGTGTGTGCGTGCATGCGCGCGAGGCCTGTGCCAAAATGGGTCCTGTCCCCAGGGGAGAGAGAGAGAGAGAGAGAGAAAGCCATTTCAGGATTTCTTCTCCGTGCTCCAGATAAGCAGGGATTGACACCAGACAAATCATCAGAAAACAATATTTTAATCAAGCTACTGCCGAGGAGAACATTACAGGTCCACCAACACCAACAACGGGGGGGGGGAAGATGGGGGCATTGAGTAGCCATCTCTCCCCCTCCCCAACACATGACCCTTACCTGCGCGCCCCCCTCCCCCATTCCTGAGTTTCCCCAGCCTTCTCTTTCTTCCCTACGTTTTTTTAGATCGCCATCCGGGAAAAATATCCCTGGGCCTCTGACCAGGTGCAGAGTGCGTTCTCTTCTTTGCAACCCCGTTGGGACACGCCTGGCCAGGTTTGCTAACTTGTTCCCCCTCCCCATTTTGGGGTGGGTGGGGGTGAGGCTTTCTAGAAAGTGAAGGTGGGGGTCAAGATTGTGGGGTGAAGGAATCACGCTTGCAACTAGAAGATTAATGCAGTGGTGTCAACTTCCACAAGCCCACATTTAATAGGACACCCGAGATTGGCTCCGGGTTCAAACCGGCATTAAAAAAAGAGAGATGGGGTTGCCTTGATCTGTTGTGCTAAGGGTCAGCATTTGCACAAGGGGCTCACTGCCAGCAGATTAAATAGAATAGAATAGAATAGAATAGAATAGAATAGAATAGAATAGAATAGAATAGAATAGAATAGAATAGAATAGAATATACAATTAGAATATAGAATATAGAATATAGAATAGAATAATGATAATAGAATAGAATAGAACAGAATATAGAATAGAATACTGGTAATAGAATAAAATACTGATAGTAGAATATAGAATATAGATAGATAGAATAGAATATAGAATTAGAATAGAATATAGAATAGAATAGAATAGAATAGAATATAGAATATAGAATATAGAATATAGATTGCAATATAGAAAATGGAATAGGATGGAATAGGATGGAATAGAATAGAATAGAATAGAATAGAATAGAATATAGAATTAGAATATAGAATAGAATAATAATAATAGAATAGAATATAGAATTAGAATAGAATATAGAATAGAATAGAATAGAATATAGAATAGAATATAGAATATAGATAGAATACAATATAGAATACAATATAGAATACAATATAGAAAATGGAATGGAATGGAATATAGAATATAGATAGAATGCAATATAGAAAATAGAATGGAATGGAATGGAATAGGATAGAATAGAATAGAATAGAATAGAATATAGAATTAGAATATAGAATTAGAATATAGAATTAGAATATAGAATAGAATAATGATAATAGAATAGAATATAGAATTAGAATAGAATATAGAATAGAATAGAATATAGAATAGAATATAGAATAGAATATAGATAGAATACAATATAGAATACAATATAGAATACAATATAGAAAATGCAATGGAATGGAATGGAATGGAATAGAATAGAATAGAATAGAATAACAGACTCGGAAGGGACCTTGGAGGTCATGTAGTCCAACCCCCTGCTCAGGCAGGAAACCCTACCTACACCATTTCAGACAAATGGCTGTCCAATCTCTTCTTAAAAACTTCCAAAATCTCACCTGTGCTTTTGGATAGGGATGGTCACAATAGCTGGTCACCTTGACATAGTTGCATGTAAAAATCCAGCATCTCAGGGATACGTTTAACAATTTCATTTTATTTTATTTAAAAGGTTGAAAGGGGGGTGGGAAATTGAGCAGAGACAGAATAAAACTAAACAAAAGACATTGGGGAAAAAAAGTTAAAAAAAATAAAATAAAATTGTTAAACAAAATGGTTAAGCAATCTTGGGGATCTGTGTTTCCACCCGCCTTCCTTTGATGTTCTAATTTTCTAAAGGGAAGGATTTTTATTTATTTTTTTAAAAAAAGAAAGCTTGTTCTACTTTTCTTTTTTAAAAGAAAAATAGAAAATAGAGTCATATTCCAGTTTTGTTCTCCTGGAATATTGCTCTGGATCTGCAAAGCTGGTTTAATGATGTGCGTGAGAATCTGCATGTGGATATCATTTAAATCAGGGGTCTTCAAACTTGGCCCTTTGATGACTTGTGGACTTCAACTCCCAGAATTCCTCAGCCAGGCACGCGTGCCTGGCTGAGGAATTCTGGGAGTTGAAGTCCACAAGTCATCAAAGGGCCAGGTTTGAAGACCCCTGACCAAGGCCTGTAAGATCTGTGGACTTCAACTCCCAGAATTCCTCAGCCTGGGTGCCTGGCTGAGGGATTCTGGGAGTTGAAGCCCACAGGTCCTAAAAGGGCCACATTTGAAGACCCCTGACTTAGGAGAACACGTTTTGTAGCACTGGGGTGAATCTGGAGGGCTCCCCGTTGGGGATTGTGGTTGTTAGTTTGCTAACGCCGCACAGGAGTGTCACACAAACGACAACAGCGTTGCAACTTCCTCATTTTACTCACCCGGCCCAGGCAGAGGCCGCATGTGCAGAGTGCAGATACATCAGCACAGTCTTGGGGGGTCCCTGTCACAATGAGCAGATTTGAAGATCCTGTCTGGTCCCGCAGCGGTTCCTCGTGTTCTCTTTCGCACCCGGCACCCCCTTCCCCAGAGCCCCCCGCCGAGATAATCCCTTGCCCCCCCCCACCGCCACGCCTGCTTGTGCTTCTACAAAACCTCTCCTACACAACGCCTCTACCCACTCACAGATGCCAACCTGGCACCAGCCCACGGCACGGCCTCTGTTCTTAGTGGGAAGAGTAGAGACCCCAGGAGGTGGGGGGCTTTGCCTGTTCGGGCTCTCCAGGACCAGTCGGGGTTCGACGTCTCGCCCCCCCTCCCTCCATTCTCCCCCCTCCCTCCATGGTGCTGGGAAGGGGGGCATGTTGGAGGTTTGAAAAGCTGGCTGCCCCGAGCAAGCATTTTTCTGTCGTTTCTGGATATCTAAAAAAAAAAAAAATTAAAGTTCCTAGCATAGCCGCTCCCTAGTTACTGGCATTTCCTGGTGGTCTCCCATCAATAGAATGGAATGGAATGGAATAGAATAGAATAGAATAGAATAGAATAGAATAGAATAGAATAGAATAGAATAGAATAGAATAGAATATAGGAATATAGGAATATAGGAATATAGGAATATAGAATGGAATGGAATAGAATAGAATAGAATAGAATAGAATAGAATAGAATAGAATAGAATAGAATAGAATAGAATAGAATAGAAAATATATTAGAATAGAATAGAGTAGGAGTATTGTAGGAATAGAATAGAATACTGTAGAATAGAATATAGGAATATAGGAAAATAGAATAGAATAGAATAGAATAGAATAGAATAGAATAGAATAGAATAGAATAGAATAGAATATAGGAATATAGAATAGAATAGAATAGAATAGAATAGAATAGAATAGAATAGAACAGAACAGAATAGAAATTAGAATAGAATAGAAAATATATTAGAATAGAATAGAGCAGGAGTAGAGTAGAATAGAATAGAATAGAATAGAATATAGGAATATAGGAATATAGGAATATAGGAAAATAGAATAGAATAGAATAGAATAGAATAGAATAGAATAGAATAGAATAGAATAGAATAGAATAGAATAGAATATAGGAATATAGAATAGAATAGAATAGAATAGAATAGAGTAATATAGAATAGAATATAGTAATATAGAATAGAATATAGTAATATAGAATAGAATAGAAATAAGGAACAGAACAGAACAGAACAGAATAGAATAGCAGAGTTGGAAGGGATCTTGCAGGTCATCTAGTCCAGCCCCCTGCCCAAGCAGGAGTTCCTATACACCATTTCTGACCTGGGCCTGGGGCTGCTTTGCTTTTAGTTCAGTTGTGTGTGTGTGTGTGTGGCTGGGTGTGGATGTCCTCTCTTCTGCTTCTCAAACAAGAGAAGGGTGGAGAATGAGAAGGGTTCGGCTTCGTGGGGAGGGGCAGGTGGGGTCTGGGGGGGGAGGCTCCCAGAGAGCCAGACTGCAAGGGTTTGGCGGATGAGAGGAGGCAGGGGACGCTGGGAACTGTAGTCGTTGCTTCCGGATTGAGGGCGTTGCATTCTCTGCCGTGTCTCAGGCTGGCATCTTCCTTGGTGGGGGTGGTGGGGGTTGTACCTTGTGGGGGTCTGGGGGCAGAGAGAGAGGGGGTGGCTGGGGTCTCAAACCCTTAAGGTTAAAACGGGCCAAGCAGTCAGGCTGGTCAAACATGGAAGCTTTTAGGGGAAGGGTCTCCTCTGCCCTGGTCAGACCCGCTCCCCCTGGGGGTCCAGTTTAAAAGGGGCTGGGGGTTGTGAAAGGTCCAAAGGGGGGAGGGGGGTCTACAATCCAAGACACAGCTCTTCAGAGCTCAGGGCCCATTTAGCCACGAGGTGGATGAGGGGTGATGTTGTCCTCACCCAGAAAGGTGGGTGGGTGGGCTTCTTCTCTGTGCCCCCCCCAAAGGCAGGAGTTGAACCCAGGCCTGGTTCTAACCCCAGGGGTGTGGTGGGTATAAAGGAGGAATTCCCTGGTGGGAGGGGCACTTGAACTGGGGAAGATACTACCTTGAACCCGGGGCTGGGTCCTATCTCGAACACGGGGCTCGGCTAGATGACCTCTGAAGTCCCCCCCAACGAAAATAAACTCCACCGAAAGGAGACTATAATAGGGAAGAACAGGTTGGGAATGAGGGGGGGGCTTGCTGGGGGAGGAAAGGGAAGCTTGGGAAGATGAGGGGGGGCTGTTCCTTTGCTAAATTGGGGGGTTTTTTCCCCCAGTCTCGCACCCTTGGGAGAAAGACTGCAATTCCCAGAATTCTTTGCAACTCTGTTGGCTGGGCATCCTGGGAACTGCCGTGCCAGGGGAAATAGGGGCTGAATATTGGGGGGGGGATTGGGGAGGGGTCCCCACTTTGGCCTAATAATGATCCTAATAATTAAAAGAGACCGGCCTCTGGTTCATACGTAGCATGCCTGACGGAAGAGCTGTTAAAAAGCGGAAAGTTCTGGTCCGCGGATGCTTTTATTTGCTTTATTTACTCCTTTATTTTTAGACTTTTTAAATCACGCTTTTATTACTGGGTGAGCAATTCAAGGCAACGAATATGCCTAGTGCTTTTTCTTCCCCTTATTTCAACAACAACCCTGTGAGGTGGGTTGGCCTGAGAAAGCCCAGCAGGCTTTCGTGCCTAAGGCAGGATTAGAACTCACATCTCCTGGTGATTGGCTCAGTCACCCAGCCGACTTTCAGGCCTAAGGCGGGACTAGAACTTACCGTCTCCTGGCGATTGGCTCAGAATCTCTCAGCCGGCTTTCATGCCTAAGGCGGGACTAGAACTT